GGGTCGTGACAGTCTGCAGGCTTCGCATTTGCGAAGCTTGGCTCGCAAATGCGAACCCCTCAGAAATATGGGGTGGTCGCAAATGCGATAATTTTCTTCCTAAATGCGATTGCAGTCTTCTGAAGGGTTCGCAATTTCGAACCCTGGTCGCAATTGCGACATCTGCGACCTGTAAATTCATATAGCCGAAAATCTTTCATTTTTCAAACCCTTTCAAAACCTAAACACCTTTGGGTGATTTTTCAAAGAAAAGTTCTTCTCCAAACCGATTGTAAGTGATTCTAACTCATTTTCATTAATCTTTAACATCTTTTCTCATAATTTCAACTCAAAATCAAAGGTTTTCATGGGGAAAATTGGGTGTTTTGAGTAGAACTTAGGTTTTTCAAATTTTGGTGATTTGGACCTCGATTTGAGGTCCGATTTCAAACCAAATTGTATATTTGAGTTCGTGGGTGAATGGATAATCGGGTTTTGGCTGGAACCTCGGGTTTTGACCATGTGGGCCCGGGGGCGATATTTGAGTTTTTGGGAAGAACTTTAGAAAATCTATTTTTATCCATTAGAATTGATTCATTTAGCATTTATTGATATAGTTAAGTAACTTATGGCTAGATACGAGCGAATTGGTGGTGGAATCAAGAGGTAAAGCGGTAGTTGAGGCTTGAATTGTGTTTGTGGCATCGAGGTAAGTGTTTGGTCTAACTTTAGCTTGAGGGATTAGGAGTTGTGTCGTATTTGCTGTGTGTTAATTGTGGAGTACGACATATAGGCATGGTGACGAGTATCTATACGTCGGTGTCAAGCATGCCCGTGAGTCTAGTATTGTAATTGATGTGACTCCGTTGTGTTTTATCCATGTCTAATATGATGATTCTCATTGTTGGTTCCCTTGCCGGGATGTTATTGTTTATGATATTGTCTCCCTTGCCGGGATGTTGTTGTTATACTCTTGTTCCCTTGCCGGGATGTTGTTGATATATTATTGTTCCCTTGCCGGAATGTTGTTGTTATATTATTGTTTCCTTGCCGGGATGTTGTTGTTGTATTATTGTTCCCTTGCCGGGATTCTTCTATGATTGGTGTTGATACATGAAATGGGAGCGGGTTGCACGCCTGCAACGGTAATATATGAAATGGGAGCGGGTTGCACGCCTGCAACGGCAATATATGAAATGGGAGCGGGTTGCACACCTGCAACGGTAACATATGAAATGGGAGCGGGTTGCACGCCTGCAATGGTAACATATGAAATGGGAGCGGGTTGCACGCCTGCAACGGTTCTATATGAAATGGGAGGAGCGGGTTACACGCCTGCAACGATACTATATGAAATGGGAGCGGGTTGCATGCCTGCAACGAGATATATGAAATGGGAGGGGGTTGCACGCCTGCAACGAGAAAGAAATGAATGTAAATACTCTATTTGTTTTCCTTATTGTTGTTGGCAACTAAATTATGGGTTCTTTACATTCCTCTTTAGTATTTTGTTGTTATCTGATACTCCCCGTAGCATGTCTTCCCCCCCATCTTTAACTGTGAATATCTGCTTTTATTTTCCGCTGTATATGATTTAACTGCACAGGTTTATTTGATAGTTTGGTCCTAGCCTCGTCACTACTTCGCCGAGGTTAGGCTAGGCACTTACCAGCACATGGGGTCGGTTGTGCTGATACTACACTCTACACTATGTGCAGATACTGATACCGGAGCGTTTGGACCGCAGTGAGGGTGCTGTCTTCAGTCCACTTAGGCGACCCGAGGTAGTCCTACAGGCGTTCGCAGGCCTTGGCGTCTCCTTCTATCTTTCTCTATTGTTTCTTTTATGTATTTTTGAAACAGTTTGTATTTATTTATCGGACCTTTATTTGTAGTACTCTTAGACAGTCTGTGAAATTGTGACACCAAATTCCGGGTAGTATTGTGCGTCAGATTATGTAGCAATGTTTGGTTAAACTATTAAGTTTCCGTCTTCCGCATTTCTGGTTATTTAATTTATTCCGTTGTTTAATTACTTATTACTTTGAACTGTTGAACATGCTTAATAAAAAAAAAAGGGAAATGGATTTATAATACTCGGCTTGCCTAGTTTTCACGAGTAGGCAGCATCACGACTCTCGAGTATGGAAAATCCGAGTGGTGACATATAATCTATTTGGTCTTTTCTTTTTCTTTTGTGTTTGTTGATAGTGCTAGCAATTTTTATGTCTGGGTTTCTCCAGCTAGCTAAGACCTCGGAGATTGAGCCTTGAAAGAGAGGAGGGAAAGAAAGGAAAGGAAAGGAAAGTTAGAGGAAGAGGAAAAGCTAATAAAAGCAATGGAAAGAAAAGAAAGAAAGCAACTAATCATAGCAGAAACCCTACACGCGTCTCTATTCAACAAACAATTCGAACTGCATATTTTACATTTATTATTATGTCTCTGTTACTACGTTAGCTAAAATTCAACTGTACTATCTTTTTTACGTATATTTGTGGTAAATACATCTACCCATTTTCTATCCTTTATTCTGCCTTCTAAAAACATGCTCTCTTGTTCTATTCTCCCTATTACTCTACTACCCAAAAGACTATTCTACATTCAGCTTTATTCTTACGAAAAAGAAGTTGCCAGTGACAGAGACAGTAAGCAAAGGCATCGGGAAACTGGAAAACCTTCTACTTTTGCTTGGTTGAATTCTTCACTTGACAGTAGTAAATTAATGCAAATGAAAATGTTAGATGAAAAGGTTGGTTAACTTGTAAGCAAAATGGAGGGTAGCTCGATTCACAAAGTATATCGGGTCACAACTAAAGAGGTATAAAGGCAGGCTATGCTGATGCAAATATTAATAGATGATTTCACGGCTCGAACTCGTGATCTAAACTAAACATCAATGGCTGATTTCACGGCTCGAACTTGTGACCTATAGATAACATGAATACTATTTGATCGTTGCTCCAATCCAAGACTCCCCTTCAATGTCGATGGAGATCAGTTGCAACTTGCAAACAATTTTTGATAGAACTCTTATCGTTGACCTAAGTCCAAAGCAGAGAGAAATTTATTCTACATGCATGCAAGAGAATTAATTCGAAGATGTTTTCTATTAATAGAGTAAGAAATGATATTATTAAGGAAACTATTTCTGAAAAGCCCCACAGAAATATACAGTACATATACAGTAAAGTTATTAATGCATGCAATCGTCTAGATCCGTCTATGATCCCTTACCATCTAGGATGCTGAAGCATGTTACCAACTTATGATTTTGTTTAAAAGCCCAAATTGCTAGAGCATACTTTTATGGATTAAACATGTGGAAATTTGAACTCATGAACTCTTACGTGTATACTCCAATACCATATTGAAATGTATTATCAGTTTATATAAAAGGTTAAGAGTTACAAAACATTATTTAATTATATTATATCTGAATAGGGTGTTATGCTAAATAAATCAATCCTTAACTAATAAACTCAGACTTCATTAAAATCTCATCATACATAAGATAAGATAAAGATCGAAAGATGCTAAACTAAGGCAAATGGGGGAAGAGAGAATTAAAGTGTATGGAATTTACTTTCACTTTTGTTTGGTTATATCGAAAATGGTGTTTGGACTTTGGTAGTGATAATAGATTCTACTCTTTGAAAACAAAATTAGGCATGCAGAGCAACTTTTGGCTGCTTTTATCTCTTTTCTTTTCTTTAATTTAATAATGTAATGGGAATTTTCCTTCCTTTTATACGCTTTGGTAAAAGAAGAGATCTGAAGGTATATATGACTATTCCACCCATCGTATAAAGTAAGTGCTTTGAAAATATCAGTAATATAAAGTATTGTCAGTACTTTTTTTTTTTTTTTCTCTTTGTTTTTACTTAATTAAAAAAAGATATAAGGAATTAGGGGCATGCGAATTAATATTGAGGTAATCATAATTTAATGATATAGCGAAGACTCCAACTAGTAGTTGGCAAATGGCAAGATGCACTTTTCTGTTGGAGCTGTAATTTATGTCATTTCTGGTGCAAACTTTACAGCGTCTGCTACGCTCTATTGCATTCACTAGTCAACTGTTCACTTTGGTCCCTCCTCTTTCTTTTGTTTGTTTACTTTTTTTTTTTTTTTTTTTTATGTGTTTCAATTAATTATTCTTTTATTTGTGATGTTATTTGATTGAATACAATATTTAAGAATAAAACAAATATTTTTAAAATTTATGGTCTATAATAAATTATAGATATAATGATGACTATAAATTATGCTGTTAAGAATAAAATAATAATTTAAAGTTAAATTGTAACTACTTAGTAGGAAAAGATGTCATTTCTTTTTAGACCGACTAGAAAAGGAAAAGTTTCACATAAATTAATAGTGATGAAGTATATATATATTTGCTTATTTCAAGTTTCAAGTTTTATTATTGAACAAATTGCATTTTTAAGTTCAAAATAAAATATTTGTTAAAATTTTAATCATTTTATATATGTTATTTTTATGTCCCATTTCAAAGATACTTAATTCACGTCGAACCCAATAATGAAGCAAAAACAAATTAAGGAACAGTAATGAAGCAAAAAACAATACTTAATATAGATTAACTTATGTAAAAACAGTGTCGTATATTTAATTAGACACTAAACTTATATATGTTCACGTTATCTACTTACACAAAATCATACTTTTCAGATTAGCTCTTATGAGAGTGTTGAATCAAGGACTTTGTTTATATACCGTTTAAAATATAAATCCTTTTTTTATATTATCGCTGAATTTATTAATTATTATAATAATTTTTTTAAAATAAATATAAATAAATTTACCCTATCAATACATTAAAAACTTGAGAATAATCAATTGGTCCACTCACTTACTAATGTTAAATGTTAAACTATACTTATTCCATTTCTGTTGGGGTCCCAACCTGATTTGTAACAAGCACGAACCTCACGTGTCGAGTTATTATGTCGCATGATATCCCATAATTTTCTTCTATATACTCCTACACAAATAAATCCATAAAAATAAAACATAGCAAAAGCCAACCAGATATCCAAAATAAAAACACAATCTTTCCTCAATATTGTCACTCCCCACTCTCCATTTCTCCACAGTCTCTTTCTTTTGCTCCCTTTAACACTATCAACAAATAAACTGCAGGCTCAGGTGAAGCCACAGAGCTAGAATTTAATTCCTTTATTTAGTTTCTTGAATAGTATGAAGTAAATGAAAACACAAAAAAGCTTCTTCTTCTCAGAAGAAGATGAGTACTCAACCTCATCAAGAAACAGAAAAACTTCCATTTTCATTAGATGCTTTGTACTGTGAAGAAGATGATTTTTTCACCGAGGAAGTAAAGGTAGAAGAAGAAGAAGGAGAGAGTTTTTGCAGTGAAAACATAAACCCTAATCCACATGACTTGATATGGGAAGAGGGAGAGCTAAGCTCTTTATTTTCCAAAGAAACAGAGAATGTAATAAATAATGTAGTTGAGAAAACCCCATCTTTATCTTCAGCAAGAAGAGAAGCTGTTGAATGGATTCTCAAAGTCATTGGTTATTACTCTTTTTCTGCTCAAACTGCATTTCTTGCAGTTAACTACCTTGATAGGTTTCTTTCTAGCTTTGAGTTTCAAAGTCATAAGCCATGGATAAATCAACTTGTTGCTGTAGCTTGTCTTTCTTTAGCTGCAAAAGTTGAGGAGACTGAAGTTCCTCTTCTTCTTGACCTCCAAGTATGTTCCAATAAATATTTTTTTTATAGATCTCATACTATATTTATTACTGATGCTTGTTTATAATGTATGACCATCTTGATTGATTTGGTTTGTAGGTTGAGGATCCAAGATATGTGTTTGAATCTAAAACAGTTCAGAGAATGGAGCTGTTGGTTCTCTCCACACTGGAATGGAAGATGAATCCAGTCACTCCATTTTCATTTCTTGATTACATTACTAGGAGGCTTGGATTGAACAACTGTCTCTGTTGGGAATTTGTGAGGAGATGTGAGAGGGTGCTTCTCTACACAATTACCGGTAAGTATGTTGAAAAGTGTGAACATCTCATTTACGTCGGACATGAAATTGTTATGAGTTAAGCACTTAAAAATTCTCTTTGATAATGTGAGGTGGTTCCAATTTAGGATTGCTCTGATATGATGCAGTTTTATTTATAATTGTTTGATAATCGAATATGCTTTTGTGTACTTAATTATGTCTATGTATATATGGCAATTTTTAATGCTGTCAACTATTTCCTAAATGTTTGTCAATTTCAGATTGCAGATTCATTGGTTACCTTCCTTCTGCTATGGCTTCTGCCACAATGTTGCATGTTATTGATAGGCTACAGCCCTGCATTGGAGAGAAGTACCAAGATCAACTTTTGGACATCCTTGGTATTGTCAAGGTTAGAAATTTTTAATCACTCTTCCTCTTAGCTCCCCACTATATATTTTTAGGTCGCGTTTCTTTGCAGAAATAAAGTATAATATTGCCTGCCATAGACCCTTAATGGTTTGTCCTTTCTCTGGACTCCGCATGTAGCCCGGATCTTAGTGAATCAAGCTGCCCACATTTATATTAGTACATTATTTGGTATGCTGTGATTTTACATTGTAACTAAATAATTTGTGTAATGTAACAGGACAAGGTGGAAGACTGTTATAGGCTAATGCAAGAGGTGGCTACAAACATTGACTTCCATTCAAACAAACGCAAGTTTGGGACTAATTTGCCAGGGAGTCCAACAGGGGTAATGGATGTGTCATTTAGCTCAGATTACTCCAATGACTCATGGTCAGTGGCTACATCAGTTTCTTCTTCTCCAGAGCCATTGTCCAAGAAGACTAGGGAGTCAAGAGAATGACCATTAATTAAATTGATGTCTTTAAATGTTTCCTTAATAGACTAGTGATCATCACTTAGTTTACATATGTATAATGTTCAATAATAGTACTTGTCTCATCTATTTAAGTTCTTGTTCTTCACATGTTAATTTGCTTACCATCTTTACATTTAAACCAAACCCTCTTTTAATTTGAGAATTATTACAGCTAGGTTATGGACCATTTATTGGTACTGTCTGTACTATAGTGGGGCTATGAGATTTGTATCTTATAGGTAAAGATGGTCAGCATTATATCCGAAGGAAAGAAAACTTAAATGAAAAAAAATTGCGGAACGAGTATTAAAAGTAATTTAATGTCCTCTTCTTTATCTTTGTAATATCTTTATTTTTTGAAAGGGAGTTTTGACTTTAATTGATAAAGTTGTTAGAGGTTACGTGTTAGAGCAATAGATTCTTGTGATTTGATCCGTCTTCGAATCGAATCTCACGCATAACGGGAGCTTAGTGCATCAAGTTGCCCTTTTTATCTTTTCTAACTTCTTATTTATTTATGTCAATAGCAGGCTGTTATTATTTCAGTCTCACTTTGTCCATGACCATATTATGAAGTGGAATTTCTTACTCTATTCTGCTTTGTTTTTCAAAATAAAGAAAGAGACGGGTGTGTGGAAAATAATCCAGATTGGGGAAAGAGTGAATTTTGTTCACATCTGGAGGGATGAACATGTTGTCGGCCACTGGCAATTTTTCTAGGGGTTTAGATTTGCAAGTATTTGTTGTTTGACCTCGTTGGAAGAGCTTAGTCTCTTTAGTTTTTTGTTTCTCAATTTCGAGGTCTGAGTAGGACAGTAGTTAAAACTATACAAAAAATTTAAAAAAAATGATTTTAAAAGGTAGTAAAACATTACTCTTACTCCTATCATTTCTTTGGGGTCGAAAATCAGTTATGGTTTTTGGTCACATTAATGTAACAGCTACAAGAATTTAAGGCAGCTATTATGAATGTTTGAAAGAATTCATTAGTAGAAATGCAAGAGTTTAAAAGTTAAATATAATCATATCACTTCTTTGCTAAGGGTTTGTATACAATAGAATGAGCTTTTTTCACTTTTAGTATACATTAGAAACTATTTACATTCGATAGCTGAAAAGGTGTATAAAATTTGTGTAATTTTTATATATAATATACATATGATATATATATATATATATATATATATATATATATATATATATATATATATATATACAAAAATATTCAAGAAATATATATTTTATCGGCTATTATTTTGAGAGTAGTCATACAGTGTCATCTTCCCTAATTTAATCAATAAATAGAGTGAGTTGGAGCTACTGCTCCTTCTGGTCTACTTTAATTGATTTTTTTAGTTGTTATCACACATATTAAGAAATTTAGCTTTTAGCATTAATTAATAATGAAATTGACCATATTAACCATAATTTGTTCTTTAAGAATATAGCAAATATCCCTAGGCTCTTTATTTCAAGGGTAACTTTGGTAAAAAAGAAATTAATTCCTTGTTGATATCTGAAAAATCAATATTTAAGTTACATAATGAAAAACTAAAAAATCAATTAAAATCGGAGGAAGTAATGATTATCTATGATCTAATCATTAAGCAGCGAGTCAAAAACCTAATGTTTAAGTTACATAATGAAGACGTAGTTCATGTATGGAAGATTAATTAAAAAAAAGGGATTAAAGCTAAGTTCACTTTGCACTTGGTGGTGGTAGAAAAGACATCCACAAGAAACCTTGCATGTGCTTTCTTTACCACTTTAATATAAAGAATAGTGGCTTGGCTTTTTTTCTTTTTTAATTATTTCAAAACTAAACAGTAAACACAAAGCCCTAGCAATTTATTTCCAAATGATTAAAATAATTCATCAAATTAGTCAATCTTTCGCATTGAAGTGCCGTGAATATCGGAATCACTATTTTTTAAAATTATATTAGACATTTCATATCTAGCTTATATTGACCCATTCATAACATAGCAATGAACAAGGAGACGGGTGTTTTCCTTTCGTATTTAAATAGTGATTGGACAGACTATATATAGATCTTCTTTTTAGGAGGAATAATTTTCTACTCGTTATTACATTGTTTGAACTATCTCATTTGCAACAACAATAACAAATCCAAAAAATTTCACAAATGGAGTTTACGAAGGATAATGTATACGCAGACTTTACCCGTACCCTGAAAGGTATAGAGGTTAATTCTGATAGACCATCGGTTCAAGAAAGATGAAAAGAAACAATAAAAACAAGCAGTATCAACAACAAAGGCTAGAAAAAATAATAACATTAATCTAAGAACCAAAAAAATAGATGGAAGGAAGCAGTACCAGCAAGTAGTAACAATAACAAAATACTAGGAAACCAAAGCGGAAGATAGTAGAAAAACAACATGTAATACTAGCAATTTAAGAACAAGAACACTACCAGACGAACCCTAATACATTCGATACGGAATAGATATGCGCTCGATTACCTACTAACCTTTTATTCTAATTCTCGACCTCCACACCCTCTTATCAAGGGCCATGTCCTCGGTAAGCTGAAGCTGCATCATGTACTGTCGGATCACCTCTCTTCGATTCTTCTTTGGTCTCCCTCTGCATCTTCTCATAAACCAACCAAAGCCAACCCTCACACTCTTTACTGAAACATAGAACTTCTCCTCTCCACATGCTGGAATTATTTAAGCCTCGCTCCCGCATCTTGTTCCCACGGCGATCACGCCCACCTTTACCCGAGTACCTAATCTGACAACTTAAATTGTTAGTAATATTTGAATATTTATTTATTTTAGGTTTAGGAATAATAGTTAGTATTGTTTGTGAGATGTTTGCATATCTCACAAAAAAAAAGGCTTGATTTTTTATTTAACCTTAAGGTATCTCTCTACTTGTACTGTGATTCGAATTATTTAAAATTTTAACTGGTTAAAAATGAAAATTATTACTAATATTTATTTGTTTATTTTATTTGCAATTCTCATGGCTCATGGCTGGGTGCGATGGAGGTATACAGCTGCCAAGATTTACCATAAGTAAAAAGAGTTGCTCCATGTGAGTTGCATTTTCTCATCTAACTTTTGTACTGATATTCATAAGTTAGTGGGGACAAAAATTAATAGAATATAAACTAAAAAGTAAAAAAAAGATGTAATGAACAGTGACCTAAAAGGCAGGATCGGGATTTAGGAGTATTAAGGAGTGTAAAAGGTGAGCATATTAGAAGATTAAAGGACAATTTGGGATGCAATTAGATTCACCTAAGAAAATAACGCACAAACAAAAAGGGGAAAAAGGTAAAAGAATGTGGAAACTGGGGGGACAATATCTTTTGATTTTGTTTGAGATGTCTTTGTTGGGTACTTTTGTTCATTGCTTTTGGGTGTTTTTGGCTGTCATAAGAGAATAGACTTTAATGTTTTCAACCCCTTAAAAAAAAAAAAAAGAAGAAAAGACAATGATAACAAATGGATTGCAGGGGAGTAGAGAGTTGGTTCCAGTTAATAACTTCTCTTTCTTTTATGGCATTGGCCATTTTTTAAAGACATAATTAGTTTATCATCCTTTTGACCTAATAAATATTAATGTTCAGTCCTAAGCTATTAATAACTCAAGAAAATTGGTACTATGAACAACTTGTACCACATTATTTCCTGGCCAATAATCTTTTGTAAATAAAAACTAACTTACAAGTGAGCTGTTCCATAAAATCATCTCAATTGGAATGTTATTAATGTTGCCTTCACTTTGGTTTTTTAGTTGCACTACCTACGGTTAGTTTTTCGCTTCGATTTTTCAATTAGTTTGCTTGTCATTGCCCTTTTATTTTTCCTGAGCCGAAGATCTACCGAAAACAATCTCTTTGCCTTCTTAAAGGTAGGAATAAGATTTGTGTACGCACTACTTTCCCCAGACCCTACTTATGTTATTAATGTCCACCATCTTCATTTGCTGATATTTCAAGACGACCGTTTGATTAAGCTATTGTTATTAAAGATAGAAAACAAGGGATTGTCTAGTATCAAGTTTTAACAATTGATAGTTTTACTTCTATTAATATATATTTTTTTCCTACGGGGAAATTCGGCATAATTTTCTTTATTTTTCAATTTCAAAGTTTAAATACCTTTTTTTCAAATGTCAACTGTTATTAAAGCGATTACTAAGACATCTTTTTCTATGACAAAGAGATCAATTGTCAATGACATTTCTGCGCGCTTAAAAGAGCCTTTCATTAAATTAATTTAAAATTTATATTAGGGGGTTTTCAAATTATATTTCTTCATTCACTTCTTATTTTCTCCCATGCAAAATGTTATGTTAGGCTCTCATGTGTGGTTAAGGACTATTAACAAATAATATAAGAGAATGAATGTTACTATAGTTTTTTTTTTTTAATAATGTTACTATAGCTTTAATGTACGTTTCAAGGGGAAAAAAAGTAGTTAGCCGAATTCTTGATAGTACATATATAGTTATGAGTACTAATATTTGTATTTTTAAGGAGTGTTTAATACCGACGGCGACAAGAAATTGTTTGGTATTTACTCTGCCGCAAGCTAGCTGTTGTAGACATGGACATTAGCTTATCAAATGGACTTAACAATTTTAGGATATTAATTCTCAATCTTTAACTCTTCTTAAAATTTGGGTCGTACAACACAGAGTGAGAAACCTTTCAATTTAATTCGATCAAATAGGTTTAAGTGATATTTTAAGGTAAGAACATCATAAAAACTCATAACAAAATTGCTAGTGCCGTAAAACATGATGCCTCGAGGATGGTCCTTTTATTTTAAATCGTTTTTATTCTCTGTGACAAAAAACAAAAAGTACTGATACCATGCTGTAAGATAATTTTTTTAATTACAAAAAATATAATTTGTACGAATATCTTTTATATAATTCTATATGTGTAAAGTATATATAGAGAATTAAAATATTATAACCCGTATTGACACAAAAAATGGTGGAGCAAAATCAGGATCAATATAAATCCCTTAGCAACTGGTAAGATGATATATTTATTAATCTTACTGACGCACTACTACAAGCCAATGCACATGTCAATTTTATTACAACTAGAATGTGTGTAAACATTTG